CGGCCGCGCGTGAGGGGTGATAAGGGAAAAAGCTCCTGGCATATCAACATGGAGCAGTACAACATGCAGGCATAGAACAACAACAGCTACAACAACACCCCTGGGCGTGAGAACACCGCCATGGGGAAGCCCAAACCCAGACCTGCTGCTAAGGGGGCTGGCAAGGGGAAGGCTTCCGCTACTCAACGAGGATCCAACACAGCCTCCCGTCCAGCCAGCGTAGGACGGACGCGGCTGCTGCTACAAGGTCGAGCGGATCCCCCCGGGCAGAATCAGCAAGCCGTGCCAACGCCCCAGGGCCGGGCCCGAGGGCAGCCCCAGGGGAACCTGGCACAAAGCCAATCAAGGGGAGGTAATGCTGCAACTCCCCCGCTACCGCCACTGCCGCTGACTGCTCCGCCGGCTGCATCGCCTCGATCTGCACCTCCTGCTGCACCAGGGTCACGTGAAGCTGGTCGAGCACGTACGACAGGAGCGTCATGCACGTCCCAACGTGCATCACGCGCTGCTCGACGCGAGTTGGGGGCTCACCAGGAACCACGGCAGGGGGAGGAGGCTGGGCGGGAGGCGTCACTGGCTCCCATGGACGCGGCACGGGGGGGCTGCCATACAAGCCCAGATGGAACGATGGCGGGGCTGGTACTGGCCGAGGGCCTGGAGCGTGCAGGCGAGGTGACGGTGGAACGTGGGGCATCAAGGGACGTGGCAGCTGCGGCTGGAGGGGCAGGGGAAAACGACGTAGCGGGGACTGAGCTGGTGGCTGCTGCGGCACCCAGGATGGCGGCTGCAATGGTGCGTGAGGTTGCTGCTGCTGCTGCGTCTGCAGCGGCGACGGCGGTGGGCCTGGTGCCTGCTGGCGTTTCTGCCGCTGCCTTTGGCGGCGGCTCAACTTCACCCTCTGCCACCCCACGGGTTGCACAGCCGGGGGCTGAGGAGCCAAGTCCGGGCGCGGATAAGGAACAGACCGCGAAGGCGGTGTTGTCCGCGTCGCCGGCACCTGTAACTGCGGCTGTGCTGGCGGCGGCGATGTCTGCTGCGACTGGGGAGCAGGGCGGAGCCCCGTCGGCGGAAGACGTGATGACTGCCGCTGCGTGCGCCGAAACGCCTGTTGATGCCGTGGCCGCAAACAGGCAGGAGCGCGCCCAGGCGGAGGGTGAGATTCCAGGACGCGCACACGTCGAGTCTTCCGGCGCTGCACAGGGGAAGTCAAAGAAGAAGTTGCGTGCCCAGCCAGCGCCGAGACGGCCCGGAGCAGGGCTGGGACCTGGCTCCCCGGGACCCCTCCTGGGCTGGCTTCTGCAAGGGCAACCGCCATCAGAGCGAGCGCATCGGTCGCCATCTGCGCACACGCAAGAGGCAAGGGGGGTTTCCGGACTCAATGAGGCAGCAACGGAGACGACAGCAACCGGTCAAGCAGAGCAGCCGGCCTCTAACCAGGACAACGGAGCGCGCGTGCACTCACCGCCAAGCCCTGTTGCCCCAGCTACAGAAGGCGTTGCAACTCGTCGCTCGGCTCGGCTGGGCACTGTCACGTGGGGTCCTCCAAGGGGAGGCCGTACGCCGTGGATGCCGGCGGGGAGAGCGGGACTGGAGGCCACGGCTCGATCGGCGCCGGTGGCAGGCCGGGGTTTGCGCGGTATGGGCCGCGGAAGGCGAGGGGGAGCGCGCGGGGGTGTCGCTCGTCTGGGGGGAGCTGAGATCCAAGCCCGAACGGGCCCGTGGCGGGAACGTCACGACCGTCCAGAGGTTTCGGAGGCTGCAGCCAATGGGGACGAAGCCGGCTCTGCTGAGGAGAACGGGGATCCAGATTTTATGTGTGGAGAGGAACCAGGCTCAGAGTCGGAAGAGGTTTCGCTGGAAAACGAGGAGGAAGTGGGAAGAGGGCGGAATCGAGCGAGAGGCACAGGGGAGGGAGCGGACGGAGAAACATCCCATGCTGTGGGAGGGTCGGTCCCAGCCGCAGCGGTCGCCAACGAGGTGAAATCGCCTGCCACCCTGGCAGAGGACGACGCCATCTGGCAGATAGCAGGCACGTGGACCATGGACCTTCTCCAACGAATGGACCAACCGTTCCTAGTCAGACGGCTACCACCCCAGGTGTTAGACAAATACTGCCTATGCCTCCTCGCACCACTCCTACGGCTGTCATCAAAACCAGAATGCCCAGGTGCATGGGCGATCCTGCTATACCTCCCGAGGCTGACGCTGCGTCCACCACCAGAGCCAGTCACTGGCAGCCGATGGGCATCAATTGAGGCACGGCTGCATCAGTTCCAGTTAGGAGATTGGGAGGGGTTGTTCGAAGCTGCTTGCACCATCCCCGTCACAGGTGCTCCGCTTAGACACCAAAATGATGACGAGGGGGTTTGCGCGAGGGCAGAGGGTTTGGGTAAAAAAGGCAACATTTCGAAAGCAGTTGCAGCGTTACGCACCAGCCCTCTCGCCGAACCGAATTTGGCGACGTTGACTGCCCTGAGAGCGAAACACCCGTCCTCTAGCACCCCAACACCAGCCTGGGTTACCGGGATAACTGACTCCGAGCTCAGAATCCCACTAGAAGCTCTTCGCGAAATTCTCGCAAAGTGCCCGAATGGGGTGGGAGCGGGGCCTTCAGGCTGCTGTTTCGAACACCTGAGAGACCCAGCCCTAGCGAATGAGGAGATCCTCCTGCTTCTGGCAAACGTCGTTACTCGCCTCGCCAGTTCCTTCCAGAGCCAAAAAGTCCGCGACCTTCTACTCCCTTCCCGGCTCATAGCATTAGAGAAGCCCGGGGGAGGAGTTAGACCGATCGCAATAGGCGAGGCTTTACTACGCGTGGTAGCAAAGGCGGCGCTACACAGCTTAGGCCCGAAAATCCGAGAGTTCTTCCTCCCCGTTCAGTTCGGCGTAGCAGTCCCTGGGGGCGCGGAGTGTATTATCCACACGGTTCGCTCCTTACTCCGAGATGACGAGACCCGCATAGCTCTACAGCTGGATGTGGAGAACGCTTTCAACAGCGTAGAACGCACGTCATTTCTCGCCGCCCTCCAGTGGTCCAGCCTCAACCCGCTGCTCCCGCTCGTTAGGAACCTCTACGATGGCCCCTCGCGGCTTTTAGTGGACCCCCGCCTGGAAGTGGAACACATCCAAAGCTCCAGGGGTGTTCGCCAAGGGGACCCGCTGGGACCTCTTCTTTTTGCAGCGGCGATCCAGCCTATTCTGCTCGGCGTGGCTTCAAGTGTCCCGGAGGTGGCAATCGTGGCATATGCCGATGATATCACCATCGTGGGGCCCCGCGAAGCAGCGTGCGTCGCTTTCAACACGGTCGTTGCGGAGCTGGCTTCGTGCGGGTTGCGGTGCAACCTTGCAAAGTCTGCGGCATGGTGCGCAGTGCGGGAGGAAGGAGGAGACGGCTTGCCACACGGCCTGCCCATCCACCCAGGTGGTTTGAAGGTGCTGGGCAGCCCGGTTGGCAGCGATGCTTTCTGCACCGACCAGGTCCGGGCGGCGCTTGCGGAGGCAGCTGCGGCACTACCCCTCGTCGCCCAACTCAATCCGCAGCACGCCCTACTCATGATATCGCGGAGCATCTCCCGCCGCATCTCGTACTTACTTCGCACATCACCGGCAGAGGCACTGGCCCGTACGGAATGGAGGGAGTGGAGCGAGGCATTGGTGGGAGCAGGTCTCACGGCATCGAAGCTACAGATCCCGCCGAGCGAGCTAGAGCAAAGCCTGCTGTGGCGCCAGGCAACGCTCCCGGTTCGGCTTGGGGGCCTGGGAATCACTGATCCCATTTCCGAAGCCCCAGACGCGTACCTAGCCTCAACTGCAGCGGCGCACCTTCTACTGCAGCAGCTGAACCTGCCGCCGGACTACCTACTTCACAGGGCCGGGGATCTTCTTTCCCCGACATGGACCCCACCTCCCCCCCGGGTGAACACGCTGTCCCCGCTCGAGGCAAGGCTCCCAGCACAGGCCGCGGCGGTGCTACACAGCTACAGAGAGAACCCCAGGGGAATGGGCAACACGCGGGCGGAGGAGCTGCTGGCAGATACGGTAACTGATAGGCCGGGGGTGGACCGGGGCCATGCCATTCGTCTCATCAGCCTGAAAGGAGTGGGAGCAGGCGACTGGCTCCATGCAGTGCCCACGAGGGCTGACCTCTCAATATCCCCTGGTCAGTTCTCCATGGCACTAGGCTTGCGCCTTGGCATGGAACTACCGGTGGCGGAGGTCTGCCCCTGCAAGCGGTCCAACTCCAAGATAGCTGACAAGAGTCTGCCCAACCACCTGCTACGGTGTGCCGATGGTGGGGATGCTGTGCGCACCCACAATGCGCTGGCCTTTGCTGCTCTTCGCATGGCGCAGGAAGCCGGGTACAAAACCTTTCACGAGACGACCGCGTTCTCTCCCCCAGTCCAGAACAAGCGTGCGGACCTAGCCGTCAGGGACCAAGAGTCGGGAGAGACTTGGGGCGACGGACGTGACGGTGACTGACCCGGTCCTGCAGAGGAGGGACGTGAGGGCGCGGAAGCCGCCGGGGTGGGCAGCGGAGGAGGCGTCGCAGGCCAAGCACAGGCTCTACGAGGGGCGGCCTGGCTATGTGGGCTTCTTCGGCCTGGCGGTTGAGACCTACGGGGCGTTGGCGACTGACACTCAACAGTTCCTCCGTATGTTGGCTACCTATGCAGCGAAGAAGAAGTACCGCCAGGGGCGCCTCACCACCACCGCTGCCCGCCTCAACGCACACTACAGGCAGCGGTGGTCGGTGATGCTCCAACGCAGCCAGGCGACATCCCTCCTCTCCAAGTCTAACCGGGCGGCAGAAGCGGCATTCCCTCAGGCTGCAGCGGACCCTTGGGCGCCCCGCCTGGGAGACCTCTGGCAGATGCAGGTAGACGAGTATGAGGAGCGCCAGGCTCCAGCTAGGGCGGCTTAGGGGGCTGGGGAGGAAGGAACTCGGTGACAGGGGGTCGGCTGGGGGGCAGCAGGGGTGGGATACAGGGGCGTGGTGAGGGTCAGGAAGAGGAATACAGAGTTGGGGAGGCTTCAGGGGGGACAGGGAAAATGGAGGGCGTCTCAGGGAAGGTGCGAGGAAGCTGCTGGGTGAAGGAGGATAAGGGGTGGTCCTATGGTATGGGAAGAACATGGGATAGACGGAATGTGGGGTTCTCGGGGACTTGTGCTGCTGTGGACCGGGCTGCTCTGAGAGCTAGGTGATTGGTGTGCTTTGGCTGGATGGGCTTGCTCTGTTTGCTTGTTAGTCCTGTTTTCCTGGTTGCTTCCATGTTTAGTCACGCTAGTTACCACCATCTGCCATGCCTGTACCTTTGTGACCCATATCAATATATGACTGCTTGAGAGAGAGAGAGAGAGAGAGAGAGAGAGAGAGAGAGAGAGAGAGAGAGAGAGAGAGAGAGAGAGAGAGAGAGAGAGAGAGCAAGGGAGGCGGAGAAGGATAGAGAGCAAGGGAGGGGGACAGAGAGAGAGAGAGCAAGGGAGGCGGAGAAGGATAGAGAGCAAGGGAGGGGGACAGAGAGAGAGAGAGCAAGGGAGGCGGAGAAGGATAGAGAGCAAGGGAGGGGGACAGAGAGATAGAGAGCAAGGAAGGCGGAGAAGGATAGAGAGCAAGGGAGGGGGACAGAGAGAGAGAGAGCAAGGGAGGCGGAGAAGGATAGAGAGCAAGGGAGGGGGACAGAGAGAGAGAGAGCAAGGGAGGCGGAGAAGGATAGAGAGCAAGGGAGGGGGACAGAGAGATAGAGAGCAAGGGAGACGGAGAAGGATAGAGAGCAAGGGAGGGGGACAGAGAGAGAGAGAGCAAGGGAGGCGGAGAAGGATAGAGAGCAAGGGAGGGGGACAGAGAGATAGAGAGCAAGGGAGGCGGAGAAGGATAAAGAGCAAGGGAGGGGACAGAGAGAGAGAGAGCAAGGGAGGCGGAGAAGGATAAAGAGCAGGGGAGGGGGACAGCGAGAGAGAATGCGGCAGGGCGTGAGAGAGAATGCGGCAGGGCGTGAGAGAGAGAGCGAGGGAGAGAATGTGACAGAGCGATAGAGGGAGAGAATGCGGCAGAGCGAGAGAGAGAGAAGGCGGAAAAGCGAGAGTGAGCGAATGCGGCAGAGCGAGAGAGAGAATGCAGCAGGACAAGAGAGAGAATGCGGCAGCGAGCGAGAGAGAGAATGCGGCAGCGAGCGAGAGTGCGGCAGCGAGCGAGAATGCGGCAGAGCGAGAGAGAGAGAATGCGGCAGAGCGAGAGAGAGAGAATGCGGCAGAGCGAGAGAGAGATAATGCGGCAGGGTGTGAGAGAGAATGAGGCAGGGCGTGAGAGAGAATGCGGCAGAGCGCGAGAGTTGGAGAGAGAGAGAGAATGTGGCAGAGCGATAGAGAGAGAGAATGCTGCAGAGCGAGTGAGAGAGAATGCGGCAGAGCGAGTGAGAGAGAATGCGGCAGAGGCGAGAGAGAATGCGGCAGGGTATGAGAGAGAATGCGGCAGAGCGAGAGAGAGAGAGAGAGAGAGAGAGAGAGAGAGAGAGAGAGAGAGAGAGAGAGAGAGAGAGAGAGAGAGAGAGAGAGAGAGAGAGAATGAATGAGTCAGAGCGATAGAGAGAGAGAATGCGGCAGAGCGAGAGAGAGAGATTGCGGCAGGGCGAGAGAGAGAATGCGGCAGCGAGCGAGAGAGAGAATGCGGCAGCGAGCGAGAATGCGGGGTAGGCGGAGAGATAGAGAGAGAGAGAGAGAGCAAGGGAGGGGGACAGAGAGAGAGAGAGAGCAAGCGAGGGGGACAGAGAGAGAGAGAGAGAGAGCAAGCGAGGGGGACAGAGAGAGAGAGAGCAAGGGAGGCGGAGAGATAGAGAGAGCTACGACGGGGAAGAGAGCGAGAGTGCAACCGAAAGGTATAGAGACAGAAAGCAAGGAAGGCGGAGAGAGCTCGAGCAAAGGAGACGGAGAGAGAGAGAGAGAGCATGCGAGGCGGGGAGATAGAGAGAGCACGGGAGGCGTAGAGAGAGAGAGAGAGAGAGAGAGAGAGAGAGAGAGAGAGAGAGAGAGAGAGAGAGAGAGAGAGAGAGAGAGAGAGAGAGAGGCACTAGGCCCAGTCCTTAGTCTCTCCCAGCCCTCTAGCTTAGTAGACCTAGTATAGCTTAGTCATAAGGCTCCCTATGCCTTGTGACCTTAGTGTAGCCACTGCAGTAAGCCTATAAGCAGTACAAGCTCCTATATAGCCTCCCTGGTTCCTTCATTCCACTCATTATTCTCTGGTGAGTGTGGATCCCCCCAACCCAGCGGCTCGCGCCGGCCGCCTTCGGCGGCCGCCGCTCGACGGCGCGGCCTTCGGCCGCGCGTTAGGGGTGGCAAGGACAAAAGGGGGACGAAGCAGTTACACAAGGAGCAGTACAAGCATGCAAGTATAGGACTGGAGGAGCTACACTAAGGTAAGTCCCCAGTCATGGGGAAGAAGAAGCCGACAACCAAAGCAGTGGCTAAGGCAACACCTACATCCGCTTCACCCGCCGCCCAAGCCACCGGAGCACACACGCGAGCGCCGGGACGATCCCAAGCGGGCACTCCTCAGCAGCCGTGGCTACCATGCGGAAAGCCGCAGTGCCAGGCCCGTCGTCCAGCAAAGGGTCCTCCGGTTGAAGCGGCAGATGAAGAACATCCCACAGCGCACTCGACACCGCACGCCGCACCCGCCCCTGCTGGTCTTCACTCATCTGCGGATCCCGGGCCACAACCTCCCGCGACTGGAGGGCGTCATGCAGGAGGTCAAGCACGAACGACAACTCTGGTACGCCCCGTCTCCAGGCCGCGGCTCCCCCCAAGGAGGGCTCGGGGGGGGAGTGTTCCAGTTCCAGCTCCCTTCACGCGGCACATGGGGCCACGAGACACCATCCCAATCCACCTCAGGGTCACGAGCGGTGCCAGGCACCTCGTCTTCGCTCCAGTAGCCGCGGGAGATGCCATGCACTGGCTGATGCTGCGGGAATGAAGGGGGCGCAGGATGGCGGGGGACGGGGAAATCGCAAGACACAGCAGATGAGGCGGCAGGAAGAAGTCGTCGCGCGCCCGAGGCGCACGACAGAAAGTAGAGCAGTGGAAGCTTTAGGTGGTGGGCCCACACACAGGATCGACCCAAGGGGATCGACCTGCTCTGATAGCATGTCAGAATAGCAAGCAGAAGTTTAGAACAAGAAAGAGGGGTTGCACTAGCAAGCAGCTGAGTACATATAGGAAACCCTAGATTGGGCTGTACTCGCTATAGAGTACCCCACTGCAGGCTAGACAAATACAACATTCTGACATCTATGTCAGCTTTGGAGCACCCGAATTTTCCCCCAATACGAGTTAAAGATAGTGTAAGTGCAAACTCTTCACAGGCCCGGATTGTCAAACTTATATGGGTTACATTATTGTAGGCTACATTGGGTTAGCCTTTAGGGGGTTCACAATTCTAGGGTTTCATATTTGTACCCTCACTTGTTTCTAGTCAACACACTTCTCATTATTGACATGGTATTAAGAGCTTAGGTTCTAGACCTAGGACTCACCTAAGGGCCCACCGTTAGAAGCGCCCTCGAGCGCCATATCGACCTAGCGCCCTCGAGCGCCGTTCTCCTAGTGCACCCTCGTGCGCCTCGTCTTCTCCTGCTGCTTGTGCGCGGCTCGCTAGTGCCGCGCGCGGCCTTTTTTTTTTCCCGCGCGTCGCCCCCTAGCAGCCCGCGCGCGGCCGTTTCTGAGCGCGCACCGCCCGTTAGCCGCCCACGCCTCCACGAGCAGCCCGTCGACCGGCCCTCCTAGCCGCGCGTAACCCACTAGCAACCGGCAGCCCCGCCCGTAGGCCGCCGCGTCGCCCTCTAGGCCGCCGCTCACGCGCTAGTCAGGCCCGCGCACAGCCACGGCCCGCCCGCTACAGCCGCCCACGTGCACGCCCTCCGTCGCGCACCGCCGCTTAGCCCAGCCCGAGCCGAACCGCGCTGCCCGAACCGAGCCGCGCCGCCCGAACCGAGCCGCGCCGCCCGAACCGAGCCGCGCCGCCCGAACCGAGCCGCCCCGCCCGAACCGAGCCGCGCCGCCCTGGCCGAGCCGCGCCGCCCTACTGTTCCTGTTCCTGCCGTACTACTGCTTTAGCTGCCACTGTTCCTGCTACTGCTACTGCTCCTACTACTGTTACTGCCACTATGGCCACTCCCTCTGTTCTCACCTTTGACGCTGAGGGTCGCCCGATTAAGTTTGAGGTTTGGTTAGATGACCTCCACCTGTTCCTCCAGATTACTGCCAAGGACGATGTCTCCCTGTATGACCACACGTCAGGCGCCGCTCCCGCACCTGCCACTACTGCTGACAGTACTGCTCGCTCCCAGTGGCAGACCCGTGATGCTCACGCTCGCCTAGCCGTTCGCAGCCACCTGCCGTTAGATGAGCGCGAACACTTCGGCCAGCATAAGACTGCTAAGGAGCTGTACGATGCAGTAGTTGCGTGCTACTCCTCCCCTGCCACTGCTGCGATAGGCCGTCTCTCACTGCCCTACCTCTTCCCCGATCTGTCTGCCTTTGCCACTGTAGCTGACCTCATCACTCACCTCCGTACCAGTGACCTCCGCTACCGTGCCGCTCTCCCCCCCGATTTCCTAGCCAAGAACCCTCCCCCGATGTACCTCACCCTCTACCACCTAGTCACTCGCCTCCCTGACACTCTTCGCACTGTCAGGGACCACTTTCTCGCTCTCTCACCCACTGACCTCACTGTCGACCTGCTCGAGAAGGAGCTCCTTGCAGCTGAGAAGAGTATTGTAGCTGTAGGTGCCTCTCGTGGCGACCCTCGCACTCCCTTCTTTGAGGGGTGTTCCCCTGTCCCCCTTCTCCCCTCCATTGCATCTGCTGCTGCTGTCGACTACCTCGGTGCTGAGGAGGTCGGGGCTGCGTCTGCTCCTAGTTGGAGGCGCAAGAGCGGCAAGGGCAAGGGGGGCAAGGGTGGCGGAGGTGGAGGTGGGGGCGGCGGCAGTGGAGGGGGTGGAGGAGGCGGGGGTGGTGGCGGTGGTGGGAGTGTTGCTGGTGGGGGGGGGGGCAGTGGCGGAGGAGGGGGTGGTGGCAGCGGCGGTAGTGGGGGTGGCGGGGGTGGCGGTGGTGCTGGTGGCGGCGGTGGAGCTGGTGGCGGGCGCGGTGGGGCGGTGCAGCAGCGTGGAGGGTTCAGTGGTGGCCAGAGGCAGCAGCAGCAGCGTCCCAGCGAGACCCCGACCTCCCAGCAGCTCCGTGAGTGGTACTCTCAGCGTGGGGGGTCTGGGGGTGGAGGTACTTGCCCGTACCTTATCCGCACAGGTGACCGCACTGGCCAGACCTGTGGGAGGTTCCACACGGCACACCGCTGCTTCTTTCGTCTCGACGACGCCTAGCGTGCACAGTTTCCTGACGCCACTGAGCTGCCCCGCTGGGCTGATCTGATGAAAAAGAATATTGATGTCTTTGCTCTTGACTTTGATGCTATCCTTGGTGCTATATATGCATTGACTATTATTGGAGAGAGTGACCAGTACCTGCGTGTCCCGCCTGACCCGGGCATTAGGACCAGTGAGGCTGCAGCTCTAGGTGCCAGTGTGTCTGTTGCCCCAGGTGCTGGTGAGACTGCCGCTCCAGGTGCTCGCGTGTCTGCTGCCCCAGGTGCTGGTGAGGCTGCTGCTCTAGGTGCTCGTGAGTCTGCGCCCTCTGGTACTGAGTCTACTGAGGCACTGCACACCTTCACACTGGACTCAGGTGCTTCTCGCTGTTTCTTTCGTGACCGCACTGCCCTAGAGCAGCTTGCTCGGCCGGTTGCTGTCTCCCTCGCTGACCCCTCTGGGGGTCCGGTCATTGCGACCTCCTCCACTGTCCTTCCTTGTCCTGCGGTCCCGTCGGGCGCACTGTCAGGTCTCTACCTCCCCTCGTTCTCTACGAACTTGGTGGCGGGTCGTGCGCTCCAGGACGGGGGTGTCCACCAGTTCACCCCTGCCTTCGAGCGCGTGACACACTGCACGTGTGCTCGGACGGGCCGTCACCTGGCTACCTTCACTAGGCAGCCGGGGTCGGACCTGTACACACTGACCACTGAGTCCCCTCAGGTAGCTGCGTCTGCGTCTGCGTCAGGTCAGCTGTCTGCCCCCTGCTCGTGCCGCTCTCTGGCGCACGAGACTGTCCTCTGGCACCACCGCCTTGGTCACCCGTCAGTGCAGCGCCTTCGTGCCATGCACAAACGGTACCTTGTCTCTGGTCTTCCCCGGGTACTCCCTCCCCTCAAACCCTCGCCTGCTCCTCCCTGTCTTCCTTGTGTCGAGGGGCGGCAGCGCGCCGCTCCTCACTCCTCCTCGTTTCCCCCGACGACTGCTCCCTTGCAAACGCTCCACATGGACGTGTGGGGCCCAGCCCGCGTCCGTGGACAGGGTCAGGAGAGGTACTTCCTAATCGTTGTTGACGACTACTCGCGCTACACCACGGTCTTCCCCTTGCGCACCAAGGGTGAGGTCCCTGATGTTTTGATCCCTTGGATCCGCGCTTCTCGTCTCCAGCTCAGCGAGCGGTTCCACTCGGACTTTCCTGTCCTGCGTCTGCACTCAGACAGAGGTGGTGAGTTCTCCTCCGACCTCTTGGCAGCCTACTGTGCGGAGCACGGTATCCGCCAGTCGTTCACGCTTCCGGCCTCTCCACAGCAGAATGGGGTTGCTGAGCGCCGCATTGGCTTGGTCATGGAGGTCGCTCGTACCTCCTTGATCCATGCGGCTGCCCCCCACTTTCTGTGGCCGTTTGCAGTCCGGTACGCTGCGCATCAGCTCAACCTCTGGCCCCGTGTCTCCTTGCCGGAGACCTCGCCCACACTGCTGTGGATGGGGGAGGTTGGCGATGCGTCGCGTTTCCGGGTCTGGGGATCTCGAGCCTTTGTCCGCGATACGTCCGCGGACAAGCTCTCCTCCCGCGCTGTTCCTTGTGTCTTCCTTGGCTTCGTCCCGGACGCGTTGGTTGGCAGTTTTACCACGCCACCTCGCGCCGTGTCCTGCCCTCTCAGGACGTCACTTTTGACGAGTCGGTGCCCTACTACCGCCTCTTCCCCTACCGCACTGCCCCGCTCCCCCCCCCGCCTCTCTTCCTCGCGCCTGCTGTGGTAGACCCCCTCCCCCCTCAGGGTGCCGCTCCCTCAGATGTGTCTCAGGTAGACTCGGTTGAGCCTGTCGAGGTAGCTGTCGACTCTCGTCCTGCTCGGGGTGCTGAGCCTGAGCGTGCGGAGCTTGAGAGTGCGGAGCCTGGGGGTGCGGAGCCTGGGGTTGCGGAGTCTGGGGGTGCGGAGCCTGCGGGTGCTGAGTCTGGGGGTGCTGAGTCTGGGGGTGCTGAGTCTGAGGGTGCTGCGACTGAGAGTGCTACACCTGGAGGTGCTCTTCCCTCCCAGCAGCTGCGTGAGTGGTACTTACAGTACTGCAGCCTCAGGAGAGGTGCTGCTGGAGCTCGTGCTCGTGCTTCCCCTCCTAGGCGGGAGCTGCCCTCTCCCCAGCGGCTCCGAGAGTGGTACGCTCGTCGCTGCAGTCTCCGGAGTGGCGCTCCTAGTGTCGCGGACCCTGGAGCTGGAGGTGCTGCTGGTGCTGGAGCTGCTGGAGGTGCTGCTGCTGCTGGCGCTGCTGGAGGTGCTGCTGGTGCTAGTACTGCTGTCGCTGCTGGAGGTGCTGCTGGTGCTGGTGCTGCGGGAGCTGCTGGAGGTGCTGGTGCTGCTGGAGGTGCTACTGGTGCTGGTGCTGCTGGAGCTGCTGGAGGTGCTACTGGAGCTGCTGGAGGTGCTGCTGGTACTGGTGCTGCTGGTGCTGGTACTGCTGGAGCTGCTGGAGGTGCTGCTGGTGCTGGAGCTACTGGAGGTGCTGCTGGTACTGGTGCTACTGGTACTGGTACTGCTGGAGCTGCTGGAGGTGCTGCTGGTGCTGGAGCTGCTGGAGGCACTGCTGCTGCTGGCGGTG